TGTGGCTGGGATCCTGACCCGGCATGTGCTCCCTGCTAGAATCACCCCTCACACCCCCAAACCTTCCGCTGGGTCCACAGGCTGGATCTTCTTACTGGTCCTCCCTGGAGGCCAGAAATCTTTCACTCCTCTTTTCCTTAGTCCCTGCATGCAAGTTACTGTTTCATCCTGGTGATACTATCTTTGAAGTTTTTTTCCCTTTTCATTCCTCCCACAGTGTCCCTGTCCCAGTTCTATGAGCAGCCCTCAGGGCTGTAGCACCAGCTTGCTAACTGGTGACCCTCCTCACATTCATTCCTCAAATTCCAACAGTCTCCACATGGGAGCCAGTGAGCCCTGTCATGCGCACCGATATCCCATTCACTTCCTGTGTCTCCTCCAAGCTTCTACTCAGTATCCCACAAGTATTTATTTACCGCCCCTGAACTGCAAGTATTGTTTTAAGAACTGGCAATATGGCAGGGAACAAAACAATGTTCTGCCTTCATGAAGCTACTAGTCTGAGGTAAAGGTATGACTTGGCAGGGCCTACCGCGTAGTTCTTCCTTGCCTCCTAGTCTGCTGGCCTACAGATAATTATACCTAATTTGGTGTTCTTCTGCTTCAGGCTCCTTGCCATTGCTGGACTCTGCTGGGGACTATCTCCTCCCCACCTGTATCCTCCTTGGCCAGACCCTCCACATGCAGTCCCTCTAGTGCACTTTACAGAGGTGATCTCCAGGAAAACATAGTCTCAAATCTTAGCTTTGGGCACAATATCTGTGCTCTGATCTCATCTTAAAATGGAAGCAATGATACATACCATATAGGTTGGCTGTGAAAATGAAGTTCCGTCCATAAGAATGCTTAGGTACTTTAGGTGCATGACAGATAGTAAGCCTGTCATAAACACTGCCTGCCATTACTTTTATTTCAGCATTGTTATTGTCATGTTATTATTGTAGCACTCATCTAACTGCTCTGCAGTTCTCTCCCCGATTAAGCCTTCCTTATTGTCTTTGTACCCTAGTGACTAACCTACTCCAGCATATTACCGCGTCAGAGTTACTAAGTGTTAAGGGGAAGATAGAAAGGTCAGCTGAAGCCAGGCGGTGGTGGCGCACGCCTGTAATCCCAGCACTCGGGAGGCAGAGGCAGGTGGATCTCTGTGAGTTCGAGACCAGCCTGGTCTACAAGAGCTAGTTCCAGGACAGGCTCCAAAAACCACAGAGAAACCCTGTCTCGAAAAACCAAAAAAAAAAAAAAAAAAAAAAAAAAAGAAAGAAAAAGAAAAAAAAAGAAAGGTCAGCTGATTTGGGTCTGTGGCTTGGGTTTCCTGTGACCAAGCAGGATTATGGTGGAATAACAACCTCAAAGGCTCCCACTGCTATCTTTTTGACCAAGAATCTAATTGTGTGCTGTTTTCATTGTGTGCACAAGAGCTGCAAAGGATTGAGCAAGAATGGAGAATTAAATTGGGTTGAACTGAACTGGAGACAAACTATTTACATTCCTTTATTCATTGACTCGTGGGGTCAAGACTCAGACCCTTAAAGCAGCCATTACCTTCAACCCCCCAAGCCCTTTGCCCCGCTGCATACCTTCCATTTGCCCTGACTCCACTCTACCATGTTCCCCTCAAAACTGTTTCCACTGAAGCCCAGGAAGCAAAAGGAGTGCTGCAGGAAGAGGGGAAGGGGTGGAGAGGGGTTAGCACCTCCCTTCTTCCTTTGCTGAGATCAAAGCCAGTATGTTCCCTTGAAGGTCGGCTAGCCCCTTTCATTTCCTGCCCCACCTGCCTGGATGGGACTGCAGTGTGCCCATTTCCTTTTCTCCTGGAGCTGGAGGGCAGTTCCAGGGTGGGGTCATAAGCTATTTCCAGTGCTAGCCAAATCCCTCTACCTCAACTTCTTTTCTGTGTACCATGATCATGTTTCCTCTCCACCTCAACAATCAGTAAGAAGCTGCAAGTAACTATGAGGGAAGTCAGTTCCTCAGCTGGTCCTAGGCTAACCCAATGGCTGAAGCAAGTGAGGGGGCCAGAAGACTTGGTCTGGAAGAAGGAACAGGCTTTTCTTTCTATGCCTCACCCCTGAGCACTTCGCCCCACATTCCTCAGAATCTAGAGGGTACAGAGTTAAGCAAAGGCCTCTTGCCCCCAGGAGAGAAGAATTCACATTTATCAGAGTCCTACCATATCCCAAGCTCCAGGTTGGGTCCTTTGATAGATATTATCTCCTAACAGCCCAAACAGGTCAGCATTTATCATCCCTGGGGTGGAAATGACGAAACAGAGATTAACAAGCTTACCCCAGGCACACAGCTAAATCCAGGCGCCAAATTCCAGCTGTCCCTGACCCCAACGCCAGTGCTCACCCTGTCACGTTGTCTCCAAAGCCCAGGAAAGCTATGCTGAGGTGACTCTGAATTATTCCACACAATTAACCAGACACCTAGGTAAACCCTTGGCAAATTAGCTTGACTCAACATACATCTAAGGGAAAACATTGGCAACTTGAGTTTGACTCTCTGGGCTGTGCAAAGAGAACATGACAGAGTTGGTAGTCTAGCAGAGAGGATCTAACAAGTGCAAACTTAGAACACAGGAACAGGGGCTTTAAATACAGCCTACAGTTTCAGTTGGCCTCACCCAAGCAAAACCTCCAAGACTGGAAGCAGCCAGCTGCCATGCATAACTGGCTTCCAACACAGGGACTTTCTTAAACTATCTGAGTTGCCCCGAGGCCAAGAGTAGTGCAATTTAGCAGGACCTGAGAATGAGTATTTGATTGGCAAAGGTAGAGAGAAGTTTAGGAACCCAGTCTTGGCTGTTACCTGCAGTCGGTCAGTCTGCTTCAGCAAAGACTGGGTTTTTTTTTTTTTTAATGACTCTGTCCCATGTGTGGCTCAATCAGTTAAAGCCAGGTGCAAATGAAGCCAGGATAAGAGGCTTAATCCTAGTAGAGCTGTTTTGTCACAGGCCAGGTAGGTCTGGCCCCAGCTGACCAAGTGGTTAGCAGCCCTGTGCTCTTTGCCAAAGGTGACTAAAGTGTGGGCAATCACAGTAGGCGTTCAAGTGAGAACGAGCTGTTCCAAACCGGTGTCTGCAGACAAGCAGCTTACAGCCTGCCTTGCTGACCAAGGAGCCGTCGTGTCAGCCTTGCACATGGAGACAGCAATGGCTCCTTTTATCTCGCCTAGGCACCCTGCCTCATATTTTTCTAGTGCTGTGATGCCAACAGTGTGTGTCTCCCCGAAGAACTGCTTTGATGCAGCTGCCTGTATTCTGCGACTCTAAGCCTGTCTTTCCATTCCCATGAGATGAGCACATCACTTGACACTCCTCTGGAGAAGAGGCCGCCACACCTGTTTAAAGCCTTCTCTTCTACAACTTGAAGCGAGGGGCCCTCCTTGGCTAAAAATAAATGCTTCTCGAGTTTCTTCAGCCGTGATGGGAGGGGGTAGTTTCTGCATGTGTCCCCTACCGTACCCCAGGTAACCCTGTTTATCTCTTTCATGTAGGGATTTGATAAAGACAGTCTCTACTCAGGGTAGTTTCCCTCTCCATAATTTGTCGGGAATCACGGAGTAAATCTCTGTGGCAAGGGCTGAATGCCTGTCCCTTTCTGGGCCAATTCACATACATGGCACGAGAAGCATTGGTACAGTCTTGGGCCTTTTCCTTTCAATTAAACGTGTAGAGTATTCATTCTTCCATGGTACGCAAAAGCTATCTTCCCCATGAAATTAATCTCATGGATTCCACAAAGACACTGTTAGAATCTCCAGATTGTTACCCAACATCTCCCACGGTGCCAGATGTATGTACAGCCAGACTTCTAACAAGGATAATGTAAATGACAGTAGCAATAACTGTGGGTTCTTTGAGTGGCATCAAAGTCACAGCATAGCAAGATCCCCGTTTCTATGCCTGCTATATATACTGCTTGAGGTTTTGTTTTATTTTGTTTTCAGGGAATTTGGATTCCCTGGTTTACTTACAACCTAACAATGTCACTATTGAAACACATCGTGTTAAGGACCATATGCTCTCTCTCCAGAGAGTGCACACAAATACTATTTCTGTTAAAAAAAAAACACACACACACAAAACAGAAATCGTAGCTTTGCATATTTCCCATTCAAAGACGGATCCCGTTTGAATGGTTCCCTTTGTCACAGAGTTTTTCCCCAAGTGGGCCCTAACAGAAGCTAAATCAGATATCGCGACTTACCAAAGGTCACAAGGGGTCATCTAGTGAGCTAGAAATAGAATCCACAAGCCTTTATTTTGATTCCTTAACTTTAAAAACATAACTTTCACTATAAAGAAAGAAAAACTTAGTAGACTTACTTGCCATTCCTGGAGCAAGGAATCCAAGGCTAATGAATGGGCTGTGAGGGCAAGAGATTACTAAAACTCTGCCTGCCTTCAGAGAGTTCTTGACAGTGGAGAGAGGGGAGGGTAGTCACTGTTGAAAAGTCTCTATCCAGTGCATATGAATACCTAGAGGACCCTTCATGCAGCTGCCACCATGACCTGCATATGACATGCAAGCCGGCAGAATACTCTGGCGGTTGGCAGAGAACGAAGGACAGCTTTATGAAGGAGGTGACATTTGAGCTGTGCCTGGAAGATGGGGAGGTTTTTCCACAGGCAGCATGGATTGGGGGTGCAAAAAAGCCATGAGTTCTAAGTAAGAACAAGGCCTGGAGAGAGCTCAGTGGGCTAGCGTGCTAGAGCGTGAAGGGCTATGGCTGGAGCAAAGCAGCTGAAGCGTAAGCAGAGGGGCCCTTGACAACAAGTGCCCAAATTTCATTGTGGCTGTCACTGAAGGGCTGAATGAGTGAGCACCGTGATGGACAGAACTTCCTGCCACATCATGCCACTCTGCCCTTAGAGGCTGTCCTGGCCTTGTCGGGCATGGTGAGCTTCGTTCGATTGTCCTGTTTGTATGTGGTTTGGTTTGGACATTTTATGTGGTTTTGTTTGGTTTTTAGCCTTTCTCTTTTCCTTACAGTTTTTCACAGCATATGGTCCTGATTATGTGCTGGAAATCACGCCAAGCTGCCGGCCAGACCGCAATGAGCCCCAGCGAATCCAGCAAATCCTCAACTACATCAAAGGTGAGCGCCACCCTCCAGTCCTGCCCTCCTTATTCCACCCAGTGTGGGGTGGCCTGCCGCTGGGGGCTTCCTCAAATACCATTTGTCTTTTGGCAACTAATCATTCCACTTCTTGGAAAGGAATCCTCTTTTTGGCCTGACATCTTGTAGCCTGAATTCTACACAAGCCACTCTAGTTGAGATTGTCACTTGGCTGGCTAATGTCACCTTCAGAAGAACAAAAGGTTCAGTTTTAAGACACTTCCAAGGAAAAATCAGTTCTAAAATATTCTGAGAGCCTTTTTCTTTGAAAAGGCCAACAGTAAAACCATCTTTAAGGGCTAGGGTTATGTGGCTCAGGGGCAGAGCATTTGCCTGCCATACTATCTCCGACACTGTGAAAAAGCAAAGCAAAACAGAAAAACTCTTTAAGTTTAGGGAAGTTCAAGTGAATTTAAACTTGAGGGGTTAAGATAGCAAAGGAATTTCTCCCCCAGACATTCTCTTGCAGCATGGTCTAGGAGAGCAATGAGAGGCTATGAAAGTCCGGTGATTAATCAGGAGTAGAGCTGCTGCCCTCTACCCCTCCCCCAAGTTATTCTGCCCCCAGGATAGAGAGGATGGTAGTCAGGCTCTACAGTCCACCAGCTCTTTGGGGTTCCTTCCCTCAGCTTTGCTTTAGAGCACCCCTCACTGCTTCTCAGTTGCTTCTTTAAGACTTGCTTCTCATCTGTCATTTGTTTTACGTATTTAGAACAATCATTTTTCTGTTAACTGAGAGAAAGTGTGTGTGTGTGTGTGTGTGTGTGTGTGTGTGCGTGCATGCGCGTGTGTGTGTGTTTGAATCTTATTTGCAGAGTTAAGAGGTCATGGATATCATATTGCCTGTCCCAAAGAGTGAAATTCTCTTGTTTATTCATAAAATGACAACGACAGTGCCAGATCTCCCACTTCTGACTCCTCCTGGGAGTGTAATTGTGTCTGAAGAGGCCAGCTAAAAGCTGGGGTTCGTCTAAGGGAGTGTGCCATAGTCTGAGGGTCTTCGCTAAAGGCTGTGCTCACTAGCAGAGTGTACTTGATGACAACAGCAAAGCCTGTGGTAAGGACTATATTTCCTAGGCTCTTTTGACCTGAGAAAATTTTCTATGCTAATGACCCTCAGTTATGCTCATAGCTCTTTGCCTCTTGTAAGGTCCTGTAACCCAACCTTCTTCTGCCTCTAATGTTTGAAATCACCTTCCTCTGATCTCCCAATGGCGGCTACCAATTCTATACGTCCTTACTGTCTATCAATCTTCCTCCCTTCTCCAGTCTTTTTTGTTTTTTGGTTTTTGCTTTTCTTTTGTTTTCTTTATTTTTTTCAAGACAGGGTTTCTTTGTAGCGTTGGAGCCTGTCCTGGAACTAGCTCTTGTAGACCAGGCTGGCCTCGAACTCACAGAGTGCTGGGATTAAAGAAGTGTGCCACCACCGCCTGGCCCTTCTCTAGTCATTAAGGCTTCTAAATTCCTTCTGTTGCTGATTCTCATCACTGTGCTACAATCTGGATGGAGACTGGAGATCTGCGCCCTTCCCCCTCGTTTCCCTCTACTCCTCTGATCCAGAAAACAGTCCCCATTTCCCTTAAGATTGAATGTGGACTAGTTTCTCTTGTTACTCTTTCTCCTGCCTTACCATTTTCCTATCCAGGCTCTAAATTCTGGGAGCACCCAGACAAAGCACTAAAAACAGAAAGCACACACACATACACACACTACCAGAGTTCCCTGCTCCTACCTCAGCTGTGTGCGTGCATGTATGCCCTGGCCTCCCTGCACACACTCCCAGGCACATCACTCTAGACAGTGGTGACGTTTGCTGCTGTGGAAACGAAATGACAAACAAGAGAAGACGTGAGAAAGGTAATGTAGATGAGCTAGAAAAGGAACCTGAGTGAGGAGTAGGTGAGGGTGGATTGAGATAAAAAGTGATGCTAAGGTTTAGTTAAAACAAGACTAATACAGTCCAGAGGACACGGAAGTCGCGTTTTTGAACTGTATTAGCCAATGAAGGCAGTATTGGGCTAATAACACAATGAACTTCAGCAGGGAGAAAGCATCTGATCCAGGAACTGGGTTCTCAAAAGGGGCTGTGTGCAAGCAAAATGAGATGTGGCTTTAACAGTGTAGCGGCGTAAACGAATGCAGACAGAGTGTAAATATATATATATATAGCTTTAATGTAGAAATAGACTTACAGAACCACCGTTCCCGCGGAGACCAGGAAAGCAGAAGCAAGCGCTCGGAGCTTGCTCGCCAAATTTATAGGCAGACATTAGCCCGAGGCGAACACGCCCCCTAAGGGGCGGGACTTATCCCTACATCTCCCCTTTTTGTCTAAATAAGACAGAACTAAACCAAATACAACTACATACAATAACAACAACAAATAATAAATATAACAAACAATATTGAGAACAAAAGCTTTGCTAAACATTCTATCTCAAGAAGTCCAAATAATGTAAAGAGTAACTACAATTATATAATCTTCAACTCAGTCAAAGATCTGAGAAGGGAATAAACACTACTCAACAAACGAGATATATCCAAAATGTGCAACAATTGACAGAGACAACTGACTACCTGGGCAATCACCCAAAGTCTCGTTTGCAACGTTGAGTCAACCAATTTTGGCTAAGGCCTAACATAACTGACATACCATTATTAAAGGCAAGGAACTTTTCAAAACTATCTTACCCTGTCTTGGCAGGATATGACAGTCCTGTTTTATCCATTGATGCACGCTCTGTATCTGTGTCAGTGGTTGAGGTATGGGCATTTCTTTCCCCAAAGGCCAGTTCTGCCAAATAGAAAGGCTCCAGATGGAGTGTTTTTGGTGCTCAACATTCTCTCGGGAATAGAGCGGTGTTGCCAGGAGCAATTGTGTCTCACTATCACGAAACTCTGAGTTAGATTAAAGGCCATTTTCTACAGCTCTTTGAAGAGGTTGAAGATTATCTATCTATACTGAGTATAATCTCTATATATCTAAAGAACCTGATTAGTCTAATTATAAATGACAAACTTAGATGACAATTAGTCTATATAATTCTCAATATCTATCTAACTTAAAGAATAAGACAATAAACAACTGTGAAACAAATGAGGACAATGACCTCCAAATATAAACAATGTACAAATATACATTGCAGTAGGTAAATATATATCAATACACAAATATTATATAAGTATCTTAATCAGAGGTAGAAATGTACACTGCAATATGGTAAATATATACAATATATATATCAATACAATATATGTCAATACATAAAAATGTTTTAAACAGAGGTAGAAACATGCATGCGTACAATAGTCCATATAATTTAACTTTGTTTCATTATACAAGAATTGATACCAATATATTTGTCTAAAAGCAGTAACTCACAATTATAAATCTATTATCCCATCATTCCCTCTTTTTTTTTTTTTTTCAAAATGATCCTTGAGCTTATAAAATTCCTCTCCCAACCCTCAATCATATACTAATTATAATCAACCCCTAAATGATGTCCCTAAACCCAAGGGCAAACTTTACTGGGAGAGGGGACGTCGTTCTCTAGAATTACTTCCTGCTGTCATAGGGGCGACGTTCTTTCTGGGGGATCCTGTGAAAGTAAAATGATGGTTAAATTTCAAGATAATGTCTTTTAAAATTGCAAATAGTCTCTGAGTATTTTCGTGCAGGTCTGGCCAAAATGTTGTATAAGATGTGCACCATTTCAGCTAACCAAGTTGGAACTGTCTTGTGCAGCTGGTATCAAAAGCAGGTCTTGTAGTGGCGCTATCAGTATCATGACGTCATATCAACCAGGTGGAGTTGTTGTTATGGGGCCCCATCTTCTTCCTGGAAACTTAAAATGTCACTTCAGGAAAAACTCATTGTTCATTATGAAAAACTTAAACATTAATCATATAGACATATATATATATATATTCAATGAAAGACATGATAGATATATTCAATGAAAAGTATGATAGATATGAAGAGAAGCAAAGATGTTTTCTAAACTCATATTTCTTTCTGTCCCATATCATGGCTCTTGACATGAGACAGAAACTCCAGAAACTCTGGGTTTTTCTCTTACTAACAGGCTTGGAATTGGAGAGGGTTTTGCAACAAAAGCTGCCACAGTGTCAGATTTGGTCTGTTACAAAGTGACTTAGCCGGGCGGTGGTGGCGCACGCCTTTAATCCCAGCACTCGGGAGGCAGAGGCAGGCGGATCTCTGTGAGTTCGAGACTAGCCTGGTCTACAGAGCTAGTTCCAGGACAGTCTCGAACTCACAGAGATCCGCCTGCCTCTGCCTCCCGAGTGCTGGGATTAAAGGCGTGCGCCACCACCGCCCGGCTAAGTCACTTTGTAACAGACCAAATCTGACACTGTGGCAGCTTTTGTTGCAAAACCGCAAGTACTTGAGCTTCTGCTAATTCAGGCAGTGGGGTTCCGCTGCAAAACTTAGCCAAGGCAGGCAGAATGGGCCTGTGTCGCCGAGTGTGTCTCGGACTCGGCACTGGGGCCGGAGTCACGAACTGAAAAACAGCACCCGGGAGGGTGCTGTGTTAGCTAGCGGCTACCCGCTTGAGTCGGGGGCAAAATAGCCCGACGTTGGACGCCAAAATGTAGCGGCGTAAACGAATGCAGACAGAGTGTAAATATATATATATATAGCTTTAATGTAGAAATAGACTTACAGAACCACCGTTCCCGCGGAGACCAGGAAAGCAGAAGCAAGCGCTCGGAGCTTGCTTGCCAAATTTATAGGCAGACATTAGCCCGAGGCGAACACGCCCCCTAAGGGGCGGGACTTATCCCTACATAACAGCATTCTGTCTAAAAGAGAATTAGAGACAGTCGTTGACACAGAGTTCAGTATGAGTCACCCGGTCAAGGTGGCCTCCAGAGATGCTAATGCAGTAGCGACCTCACTTTACAAGGGCTCTAGACAAATAGGAACAATGTTGCCGGAGGTCAGCCAGTCTGGG